GTTGAGTCTGCAGAAGGGAAAGGGGGTGGGGGGGGTTGAATAGCAGCCTTCACCTCCCTGCAGGGGGGCTGCAAAGTAAAATGTTCTCAGTGGGGGCAGACGACAGGACAAGGAGCAATGGGCTCCGGCTGCAGAAAGGAAAGTTGAGGCCGGAGGTTAGGAAGAAGTCCCTCACTCTGAGGGCGGCGAAGCGCTGGGGCAGGCCACGCGGGGGTGGTGCAGTCTCCATCCGCCCCGGTACAAAGCCGTGGCTGGGGTGATGCAGTTGGGGCTGGTCCTGCTTGGAGGAGTGGTGACCTCTGGAAGTCCCTTCCCGTGCTCTTTGTCTAGGATTCGAGGATGACACAACACGACACGACACAACCCATGCGTAAAAAAGAAAACAGAAACTTTGCTGCCGTGTTTACTTGAATCCAAGACCAGGGGTTTCCCCCCCCAGTTGACATGGAGGGGGAAGCACCTCGTCTTAGATTTGCACACAAAGCAGAGGGGGAGCCCGGCTCTGACGCTGGCCCTCGGCCCCGGTCAGGGCTGGACTCGGACCCACAGCAGTCTCCTCCCCACACACCTTGCCCCCTGCAGTTTGTGCCCCCTTCCCTCCTCTTTACTGTCAGGAGCAGCTCAGCGCCAGCTCTCCTGGGCACGGAGCACGTGGAAACACCATCCCCTGCCTGCCCGTCAGCAGCGCCGGCACTGCCGCGTGGCCCTGCAAGGGCCGTGCTCCCACCTCTGGGGAGGGACCAGAGTCCCAGCAGCGTCTAAAGCAGGGGCAGAGGCAGAGACTGCTGGGGGGAGGCTGGGGGCGAGGGGTGAAGAAGGGGGGACAAAGGTTAAGGGGGCTGCCTGGCCCCCTCCAGCCAGTCGCTGCAGCGGGGGCTGGGGCGGCAAACTGAAGCCTGCCCTCCAGTAATTAGATTGCGTACCTGGAAAATTATAACAAGTATATACATTTTCCATATTGAGAATGTAACGATGGGGGCGGCTTGTCTTAGATTCAGGGTCGACGTAGATTCGAGTCAGTGGGGGCCGTACGCCAGTGGCCTAGGGCCGTGGATCAGAGTCTGAGGTGGGCGCGAAAGCCGACCTAAAATAGCCATGCGCTATATTCCGCCGGGTGGAAGGAAAACACGACGTCCGAGCCAAAAATAATCGCCAGATGCTGCTTCCTTCGCGCCGCTGTGGGTCGAATCAACGGACGTCTCTTCTTTCCGACTCAGGAAACAGCCTCTACCCGTCGCCCAAAGCGGTTTCCACACCTGAGCTCACGCTTTTAGCGAGCGCTGGTTGCTCGGGGGGGCTGGGCGGGTTTCCAACCTGCCTCCGTCCAGGTTGCTTGGTTGCGGGGTGCTGACAGCAGCAGCTGCCCCCCCCCTCCAGACTGTGACGTGAGCGTGCGATGGGTGGCCGGAAGCGTGTCTCGGCGCATGTGGCTGGTCAGCCCGGCCCAGGCTGGGACACTTGCTATGGAAGGTTCCCCGCGTTGGTGGTCACGACACCCCCGCTCCGTGCCCACATTTTCTCCCTCTTGGCCAGGCCCTTCCAAGGCCGGGCGCCCAGAGCTCGGTCTGCTCATTTCGGGCTTTACTGGCTGTCCTCCCTCATGGAACGGGAGCATCTTCCACTTCTTTTCTCCAAGCATGGCTCTTCCCTCGTTCCTCTCTCCTTCCTGACTCCAAACAAGCGCTTTCACTCCCCGCGCTGCCTATCCGGCTGTCCCACGGTCTCCCGAGGTCCTTGGTTTTGCTGTATCCCAGTGCTGCCGCAGCCCAGCTTGGGAGTTAAAAACAGCCTGCGGAATAGCTGCTCCTGGTACCGGTGCTCCTAACCAGCAGCAGAATTGCACAGCAGCTTAATTGGGGGGGGGCAGGGGGTGGGAAAAGAGAGAGGGTCCTTAACACTCCTGGAAGACACTCTGGCTGCTGCCTGAATAGAAATGCCACGGCCTTTGCCAGAGGGTTGGTTTTCGACTTTGGATGGGCCAAGATTTTGGGGATCCACCCCAGGCGTGGTTGTTTCAGAAGGTGCCGGGCTAGGGAAATTTGGTCTTGTGCCTCAGTTTCCCCCCGGGTAAAAGCAGTGGTCTGATCACAGTGGTAGCCGTGCGTGATAGCAGCTCTGTGGTAAGCCCCCGAGACCCCCTGGCTTTGCCCGGAGGAGGGGCGCCGGGTCTCTGACTCTCCGTCTCTCCCCAGAACCTGATGAAAGTGGCGGCCCAGAACCTGGTGCAGAACTCGAACATCGACAATGGGCAGTGAGTGTCCCCCCGTGGTGAGCCGAGGGGTGGGGGGGTGCTTTTCCTAGCCCTGGGGCCAGATGGATGTCACCCAGAGCCCCGTGCCCTGCTTCTCCAGTGGCATAGGGTTCCCCATGGTGTAAATCAGGAGCAGCTCCATGGAGAACACCCCCCCCCCCAATGCACACTGATGTCAGTCAGGGTGGGAGGTGAGCTGCTTAGGGAATGCCCATATGTACAGTGCCTGGCACCCCGGGCTCCCAGTCCTGCCCAGTGGGGGATGAAGTGATTGATGGGGACTTTATCCCTCCCCCTCATTTGCACCCCCTCTTTGAGACCAGGCTGGGCGGGAGGGGAGGGGTCTGGTGTATAAATCTCCCCCACCCCTGGGGTCACCCTCCCTCCTAGCGTAAATATGGGAGCATCCGGTCTGATTGCGGAGGGGGTTCTGCCACAGTCCAGTCCTGTTCTTCCCGCTCCTTAATTCTGGGGGGGATTGCTGGATCCCCGCCCGCATTAGGACCCCTCCCCAATTTCTCTCGCCCAGGAAGAGCAATGATGGCCTAGTGCAGCGCTTCGACAAGAGCCTGGAGGAGTTCTACGCCCTGTGCGACCAGCTGGAGCTGTCTCTGGTGAGCCTTCGGTCCAGCCCCCCCCCACTGCGCATGGCCCTGCACATTGTTGGAGGGGGCGGGGGGGCGGTATCCAAGGTGGGGAGGTGGCGGGTTCACAGCCAGCCCCGGGATCTGGCTGCCACTCCAGGCTCGAAGAATCAGCCCCCAACAGGGGTGACAGGCCTGGTGTCGGGTCCCGGATGCCCCTCGATGGCTGTTGGGCACCCAGCAGGGCCCCAGAGTGAGGGCTTTTAGGGGCACAAGCAGAGCCAGGAGCTCTCCTCCGTGGCGGGGGGTAACAGCAGGGGTAGGGGATGGCATGCTGTTGGCACAACACCCTGCCCCTGGGCTGATGGCTCCGCCCCTCCCACCAGCGCCTGGCCTACGAGTGCCTTTCCCAGAGCTTCGACAGTGCCAAGCACTCGCCCACGCTGGTGCCCACAGCCACCAAGCCGGACGCGGTGCAGGCCGAGAGCTTGCCCTACACCCAGTACCTGAGCATGATCAAGGCCCAGATCTCGTGTGCCAAGGACATCCACAACGCCCTCCTCGAGTGCTCCAACAAGATCACCGGCAAGGCGCCCGCCCAGCCCGGCCCGTAGCCAGGGACGGGACCCTCCCGCAGCCTCGGCCTCGCTGGCGTAACCCCCTCGCAGTGCCGCGGCCGTGGTCCGAGTGCCCCTCCAACGTGGTGGGGTTTCCAGGGACCCAGTGCCTCATGCTGGATCATTTCCCAGCATGATCCCCGAGCTGTCTGCCTGGGCCTGATTTGCCACCACCTGGTCACTGTCGATTTTCCACCCCCCCATCATCAAGCAGGTGTCAGCCCCCCAGGACACCTCTGAACCCCTCCTCTGGGAACAGATGTTGGGGCTCTAGAGACGGCAGCAGTGGGGGAAAAACAGGACAAGCTGTGCTGACACGGCCCTCGTGCGACGGGGGCAGCTCACGTGAACAGAGACGCTGACAAGCGAGGAAACACCGCGCGTGGCGACGAGCACCAGACCTCGTGCAGAGGGAGACCAGGGACAGCTACAACTGGGAGGAAAAGCCGCCTGGATCTGGTTGGTTTTCTCATCCGCTCGTGCAACCGGGAGGCTCCTCGTGTGACGGGCACCGGCCCTCGTGCGAAGGGAGAATGGGGGCACCAGGAATTGGGGATCCAGATGGTTTCGCTTCCAGTTTGTCCTCAGTTTCCCCCTCCTCTGCACCAGCTGCTGTGCTTGGAGCTGCACGTGGGGGAGATTGGACGTGTGGTCCTCACTCCCCTCGCCTGCTCTCTGCCAGGTTTGTCTCTCCTAAGATACTTTCTGTTCAGCCCAAAGTGGCTCCAGCCGGGACCCCCAACCCTGCAGCCCCCATCGGACTGGCGCCAGGGTCATTGGGGCGGCCTCCAGCCCCCTCGCACGGGGAGCTGTGGCCATGCCTTGACCCCCATGAGTCAGACCCAGCCGCGGCCTCTTGCTGCTCTGTGCTAATAAAGCCTGCTTGGGGGGACCTGGCCGGCTCCCAAACCCCTTGGTCCTCCATGTCCTGTGCTGTAACTTGTAGCTGCTCTGTGGAAAGAGGGGGATGCTGGGAGTTGTGTTCACTGCCCCCCCCCTCCCCCCCCGGCACTGGCTGCTGGTCTCGAGCATTGAGGCCTGGGGAGAAGCACTGTGTGCACACATACACCCTGGTGTACATACAGATACCCCATATATGAACATGCACCCTGGTGTATGCACACCTATAACGGGTGAGTATGTATATGCGCTGACCTCCCCCTATTGGTGTAGGTGCATTCACTTGTATGTAGAACTCCCCCTATACAGGCACAGACCTACACGCACAACATGCATACGCCCCTGTACATGACATGCACATACGTGCAAGCACACCCACTCACATGCAGAGGTTCCTGTATACAGACCTATGCATACATTATATACGCACACCCCTGTTCATGGACGCACCTGTGTGTATGTATATATGTGTATACACACACACACCTGTTTATATAATGTATATATCCACCACCCCCTTAACTACAGAACTCCCCACATACAAACAGACTTACACCCCCCATACACACAGATATACCCACTTGTGTACAGCGCTCCCCCTATACAGACACAGACCTACACACGCTGTAGGTATAGACCCTTACACGCAGGGTTGTGTCTGCATATGTATATGCGCGTGTATGCACATATACTAATACGTACGTATGTATGTAGTGTGTGTACGTGTGTACATATGTACATATATGTAGATATGTATGTATACATATGTATGTGTATACGCATACAGAGCCACCTACCTATATGCAGATGTGCCTATACACATAGAACCCCCTATATACAGACACCCACACATATATAGACACAGAGATGCTCCCTA